TTGCCCTCCAGAGGATTTACCCCTCTTCCTGACCAGGCCATTTTTTGCGTTCTGGTGCTGCGTTACTTTAACTGACAACTGTGCGGTCATGCAACGCTGCACACAAATGAAATTTACGGCCTTTTTTCCCCCACAAATTGAGCTTTCTTTCGGTGGTATTTGATCGCCTCTGCATTTTTTTTTTGCGCTATAAAAAAAAAAGACCAAAAATTTTGAGAAAAAAACTATATTTTTGACTTTTTGCTAATAAACATGTCCAGTAAAAAAAAAACAAATTTTGTCATAAATTTAGGCCAAAATGTATTCTGCTACATATCTTGCTAAAAAAAAAATCCCAATACTGTATGTGTAAATTAACTGGTTTACGTGAACGTTATAGCATTTACAAATGGCGGTATAGATACTGGAATTATTTTTTTTGCTAGTAGTGGCGGTGATCAGCGACTTATAGCGGGACTGCGGTGACATTTTGACAGGGAAACTGACTTGGTGTCAATCACATCCCCAGTGACACCAATACAGTGATCAGTGCTAAAAAAAAAAAAAAAAAAAAAAAAAAAAAAAAAAGCAGCACTGACACTGTACTAATGGCACTGGGCAGGAAGGGTTTAACATGAGGGGCGATCAAAGGGTTAACTGCGTACAGGGAGTGTTTTACTAGGGAGCCGTGTCAGTGTCCTTCACTATAACCACACTGCTTTGGATGGCTGTGCACAGCACAGCCATCCAAAGCAGTGTGCACGAGCTGACAGGGAGGAGGACTGTTTGGTTAAAAAAAAAAAAACAAAAACAGTCGTCCTACCCGTCAGAGATGCTTGGTAATCACCCAGTGCCAGCAGGTAATTACCGGGCGGGACCCAGTGATTGACGGCTGCGAATGGCGGCGCTGGTACGGCATGTGCGCGCCCCCTGCCCTGAAATCCAAAATCATGTATATACAGGTGATTTTGCACACCCCTGCAGCAGTATGTCTGCTATAGAGCCGCAGGAAAGCGGGTAATTAGCACTGCTGAAGTCGCTCTGACTTCAGAAAAGGTTCTTGTACTACTTCAGGCGACTTCTATCCGATTTGTGCCCATAGACTTTAATAGAAGCCGCGTCCAAGTCAGATCCTCATCTATATTGATGTGATTTGGATCTGACATTACAGGAAGATTACCCAGGCATTCCCTGAAAGTTTCTTCAAAGTAGTACTCGAGTCACCTGGCAAAGTCCCACTGCAAATTGCCCAACTTTCAGGTAGCAGTAGTGTGAACCGAGACTAAGTCAGTGCGGTCCCTGCAGCAGATATATTAATACAAAAAAGAAAAGGTGACTGGAATACCAGTCAATGGGAAACTACTTTCACAGGACACGTGGTGTATCGAAAACAACGAAGATAAATTATGTAAAAACAAAATATCTTTAAACACATCAAAGATTGAATAAAAATAGTATAAAAACAATCACACACATATAGACTGTATAAAGATAATGTTGCTTCTTTTTTTTATTGGTGGAAGGATTTATACACTCACCAGCCACTTGATTAGGTACACTTGTTAAATTGCTTGCTAACACAAATTGCTAAGCAACTCAATGCATTTAGGCATCTAGACCTGGTGAAGACAACTTGCTTAAATTCAAACCGAACATCAGAATGGAGAAGAAAGGGGATTAAGTGACTTTATTAGGTACACCTGTTCAATTGCTTGCTAACAGAAATTGCTAATCACATGGCAGCAACTCAGTGCATTTAGGCATGCAGACTTGGTGAAGACGACTTGCTGATGTTCAAAACCAACATCAGAATGGGAAAGAAAAGGGATTAAGTGACATTGAACGTGGCATGGTTGTTGGTGCCACACAAGCTGGTCTGAGCATTTCAAAAACTGCTGATCTACTGGGATTTTCACACACAACCATCTCTAGGGTTTACAGAGAATAGTCCGAAAAAGAGAAAATATCCAGTGAGTGGCAGTTGTGTGGACAAAAATGCCTTGTTGATGTCAGAGGAGAATGGGCAGACTGGTTTGAGATGCTAGAAAGGCAACAGTAACTCAAATAGCCACTCATTACAACCAAGGCATGCAGAATACCATCTCTGAATGCACAACACGTTGAACCTTGAAGCATATGGGTTACAGGAGCAGAAGACCACACCGGGTGCCACTAGCTGTCAGCTAAGAACTGGAAACGGAGGCTACAATTCACACAGGCTCACCAGAATTGGAAAATAGGAGATTGGAAAAACATTGCCTGGGCTGAGGTATCTTGATTTCCCTAGAGATGGTTATGCGTAAAAATCCCAGTAGATCAGCAGTTTTTTAAATACTCAGGCCAGCCCATCTGGCACCAACAACCATGCCACATTCAAAATCACTTAAATCCCCTTTCTTCCCCATTCTGATGCTCGGTTTGAACTTCAGCAAGTTGTATTCACCACATCTACATGCTTAAATGCATTCAGTTTCTGCCATGTGATTGGCTGATTAGCAATTTGTGTTACCAAGCAATTGAACAGGTGTACCTAATAAAGTGGCCGGGAAGTGTATAAATCCCCTTCTTCCACCAATAAAAAAGACAACATTGTGATTGGGGAGATTTCCCTTCAATTCCTGCCCCATAGCTGAAATAGGAAGTGAGAGGAAATCACTGCAATTTAAAATAATCCCTTAAGGACTCCCAGGTCACCAAAATTAGTGTCCCCATTGGAAGATTTCCCTTCCATTTTCTGGGGACAACCCACAACTTGAGATTTGCTTTCACTTTCAATAACAGTAAACGGAACAAATACAGAGGATGAATCTCCCTAACGGGGACACAGACAGCAATAAAAACCTGGCAGGGGGTCTAACCCATATCCACTCCATTCAATTCTGTAAAACTAAGTTTTGTCTTTAATTATACTTTATGTAAATCAGCCCCAATGGTTCTGTATTTTTCCATATTTAGCTTTCTGTGCATTACTGTTGAGAGAACTGATCCAAAAAAGTAGAGACTACTCCAAATTAGCTATTATATTTTTACATTCCTTAAATACCTCATGCCCGGACCCTTATTTAACTTTCCATTAGCAAATTCACTTTAAGCCATGGTTCACACTGGTGTGACTTGTGCGATTTTGACAATTTCAAATCACATGACAAGTCATGCTGAAATTGACAGGTACTCGCTCACACTTCCACTGCGATCGCCTAGGCCATTGGAAGCGGAAGTTGTCCTCCTACCCTACCTCCCCGTAGTCTTCTGGGACATGTGACAGGTCCCAGAAGACTATGGGGCCATTCAGGAAGCGCCTGCACAGTGGGCACCCGGCTGTGAAGCCACAAGCTGTCACTGCCGGGTGCCCACACTGAAGATGCCGGCGCCTGGAACACAGTACGGCCGGTGAAACGGGCTGCAGGGAGGACACCGCAGGATCGTGGGACAGGTAAGTGGCTGTTTTTTAAAAGTCAGCTGCTACAGTTGTTGTAGCTGCTGACATTTTTTTTTTTTTACAGTGTGACTGGAACTCCGCTTTAGGAAGAAAAACAAAAAGTACACTAGAGCAGGGGTGTCAAATTCAATTTCTCAATTTCGTTGCAGGCCACATCAGCAATAAGGTTGCCCTTAAAGGGCCAGTTGTATCTGTAAGACTTGATGTCTAAAGACCACCTGACCCCCCCCACTCCCCTTGTATCATAGTGCACCCCCCTTACCTTGCGCTACTGCTGGGAAGAAGCTGGGGGCGGAGTCGGGACATAGAAAGTGCAGGGTCTGGAGGAGGACCAGAGGGCGGCTGGAGTCAGCTGCCGGAGTTTGCTGAATGCTGACACCAGGGGAGGTGGAGATGAGGGGCTGCTACAGCTGCACAGAGAGATGCGGGATCTGTAGAAGTTCTGTCCTCCTCTCTGCCATCGACTGCCGAGTCAAGGTGGCAGTGGAGATGAGGGCGATGCCACAGCTGCAGGAGCAGTGCGAGGGCCACATGAAATAGCCTAGTTGGCTGAATGCGACCTACGGACCTTGTATTTGACACAAGTGCACTAGCATGTTGCACTATATATTAAAACCCCCTGCGCTTCAGATGAAAAAACACACACACTAAGCTGCCAACACCCTCCTTTTAACCAAAAAGTGCATATATAGAAATAAGAAAAATTGGTGTAGCGCTAAAGCAAATGCCACTAAACATACATATACATATATAAACAGGTAAAAAGGGTTAAAGATGCTTATAAATAATCATGCATATAAAAAAAACTATTGCATATCCCCTAATGGGGAAACGTGACTATATGCTTGTGATGGTTGCACACAACACCATGCAAAGGGATAATATACTTCAATAAGTGACAAAGGTGAATATATTGCAGTCCACTTCACACAAAGACTGTGATCCTTTTAAAAGGCGTGAGAGTGTCACTGGTGCCACAATCCCAAAATGGTTTGAGTGCCTCCTCACCTCCCCGCACTGACCACAAGGGCCAATACGCCTTTGCACCTTATAAGGTATATTCCTCGGATGTCAGCCGATACAGGTCCACACTGGATGCTACCTCAGGCGCTGTTATCCAGAAAGCCATCTCCAGCTGCTATATAATGGTGGTAATATACCACCAGATGATGCTCAGAGACATAAGAAGAGACTTCCCATAGCGTGATACCGCAATATTTATTGATAAAATATATATAAAAATGCCCACTCACATGTCCACAAACAGTGTAAAGCCTTATGTAAATCCTCCTGTATCCTAGTACTGTGGGTGTACCCGGAGTCCCAATATGGCGCGTACGTCGGAAGTGATGTCACCGCGTACCGGAAGTGTCGTCAGGGCGTACCAACGCGTTGCGTCACGGATAGCACGTGACTTCATCAGGGGTCTTTCAGATTCAGAAATAATTATTCAATTATACAAGCACTATGAGTGGGCATTATAATAGGCCTAACTTTGAAAAATGAGTGAAGCTCTGCTTTAATTGTCTTTTTCTTTCAGATTATTCCTAACTTCTCCAAATGTAAACTGAGTATTTGATCAATGGAAACAATTAAACATCCTAAACAAGTGTTGGCCTACAATGGGGAAATCATCATCTTTCAGATTTCACAACTAAAAGGTACTTCCAATGATGAACAACAAAATGTTTTACAATTTTCAAGAAGAAGATTTCATGTGGACTCAGGAAAATTTATTGAAACGTCTTTTGGACAGTACAGCATACAATCCCATAAATCTTCTGTGGTGTTTGTATGCGCACACTGTGTCGCAGATGTTAGAACTGGTATACAATTCCCTTATGTTTTGCTAAAGACATGCAAAAGAAGGCAAAGTGGTTCATCAAGGCTGGTTTTGCTGCAGGTACTCGGTTCAAATGAGGTGGAACCATGTTTGAAGTTCAAAGTAGACAATGAATCTATAGAAGACCTACGCTTGATTGATGGTCCAATTGTTCTTTGGAGACAAAATGAGAAAATTTTATATATTTCATCTTTGACAACAGAAATTTTAACAGCTCCAGTTAATTTTTCTGCAATACACTGGGCTGGTACTGTTGAAGATGGCACTTATATTTTGGGAGCAACAAATGTGAGAGGAGAAGGAGGTAACTTACCAAGGACTTCTCACCCTGACAGAACTCTTCATGGATGTGAGTTTGTTTTGTACAACATTGAAAAGCAGAAAGTCATGTCAGGATCTTGCCTTGTTCCACATGCGTATACAAGTGTATTATGCTGCCTTGATGTCTGTACTATGCAGTGTGTGAATGGCACGTATGAGACATCCTCTGTAGGGGCCAGCCGTAAGCAGTTGATCTGGTTTGAAAATGGAGTTCCTAAGCGGGTCGTGCAGATTCCAACTGAAAATCTGTCAATGTTACAGGCTGCATATACAAGCCAAGCACATACATTGTGCATTTTGTCATTTGCTACTGGGGATGTTTGTGCGATACGGAGGGATGAGTTGCAGGTAATTATTTATATTCTTATAAATGTATTCCATAGGGGTTGATCTACTAAATGCAAGAAGACTGTTCACTTTTCAAGGGAATGTTCCCCAAAGCTTAGTGAATTAGGTAAAAACTCTGCTTACTCCCTTCATCCAATCGTACAAGCAAAAATGTTGTATGTTTTATTTTCTTTGCACTTGATTTGGTCATTCTTTGCTAAGTGAAATTTCAGCACATTCTTCTGGAAATTGCGGTCAAAATTCCTTGCAAAGTGAACAGCCTATTTGCCTTTAGTAAACCAACCCCATAATCTCCAAATTGTATTTGTTTTCCTTTCTAATAAAATGCAGAATTAAAGAACTGCTTCAGGACAATTGAAAAACGTCATTCTAAAACTCATCTGTATATTTCCTGGGCAATTCATAAGTTTGGTCTAAAGTCAAATGTAATAGCAAATTTATTTAAATATGTATTTTCCTAAAGGAAATAAGAGATAATGAAAGCCCCAGAATGTTTATTTTCATATCATTTCTATGCAGCCCTGACCCACAAATCCAATAGATACAATGCTAATATTTTAGGTGAACCTGTGCTCAGACTACAGATTCTGGACAATCAGTAAAAGCTCTTTAAAACAAGCTGTCACTGACCTCTGTAGCTATTGGCACAGCTGAGAAATCCCTCTTTAAGCTTCTTACCAGAGCCACTGAAGTCACAGTTGCTCTTCTTTTTTTTTCTATGACAAAACTGTGTAGAACAATGTAAAAGGTACTGAGTAATATCCTTTTTACATGTACAGAAATGTTGTATGTTTCACATACTTAACAGGCTTGATCACAGTCAGTGCAGGGTGCTGTAGTGAATTGCACAGTTATAGGAAAATAAGGACCTTCACCAGCATTCCTTGTCATAGTTTTGTCTTAAAAAGGTGATCTTGAGAGATCCTGAAATGTCTACTTGCCTGTTGCTATTATCAACTCATGTTGTTATTATTATCACTTTACCAAGCTATTCTGGAATAAAACAAGCACTCACTGACCTCTGAAACTATAAGCTTTGCTGAGAAATCCCTCTTTAAAACTTCATAACAGATGTACTGAAATCACAGTTGTTCTTACTTTATTTTCTATGACAGAGACCTTACCAAAGGTGTGTAGAACAATATAAAAAGTGCAGGGCTGAGTAATACCCTTTTACAGATACAGAAAAGTTGTATATGTCACATACCTTTACAGGCTTGACTGCAGTCCATCCAGGGTGCTGTAGGTAATTAGTGGATGGCTCCACCATACATTCATAGGAAAATAAGGCACACCTTGGTATAGTCTGCTTTGAAAAAGGGATCCCCACAAAGAATAATGAAACCTTGATAACCCTTCCCAACTCTGATTGTTATGCCTCAACACTTTCAGTTTTATTCTTGCTAGGCAGAAGTGGCAAGAAAGTGCCACAGAAAGTGTAAAGAAATCTTTGAAATCTGGACTGGCACACCAATAAATATTCAAAGTGATGGCACAGTCTTTTTCTTTAAATTAAAATAACAAACAGGTTTATACTTACCTGCTTTGTGCAATGCACAGAGTGGCCATGAACCTCCTCTTCTGAGATCCCCCATTGGCGCTCTTGACTCCTCTTCTTCACTGTTTGCCACCTGAGGAAGCCGCTTGCTATGGTGGCACACCTGTGGGCTTGCTCCTGAGCCGGTCTATGTGTGTCTAAAGAGGCACACAGTGTGGCTCGACGCTGCCAAATCTTACTCCCTCTTCACAGGAATTGATAGCAGCAGGATCCAATGACTCCTGCTGCTGCCTCTGTCCTATGAATGCAGGGGAAGAAAGGAGAGAGCCACTACATATGGGCACAGCACTGGATGGAATGAGGACTTAGGTAAGCATTTTTAGTAATATTTAGGAGGGGTGGGTGGAGGGGAGCGATATAATGTTAAGACATATTTTACCTTAATGCAGGATATGCTTTAAGGTAAAAAAATGTGTAGCCTTTACAACCACTTTAAAGCTGAACTCCAGGAATGCAGCCATTTTGTACAGTGTGCTAGAGTACTAGGGGTTAGGTCCAACAAGGTGCATGCCATCTCGTGGATTTATCTATTTAATTTAAATTTTTTTTTTTTTTTTACTGAGTGTCAGCAGCATAGCTATCACTATACATCCAGGGCACCAACACTGGACCTTCTTGTCTCATCAACTTCAGCTGCCTCACCTCCTCCTGCCCTGTCAAAGAGCGCTTTGCTTTATGTGAACTCATTCACAAAATACAAAGGCTTCTGTGAATAAACAGTAGAGGGAGGGGGCACAGCGGCTGCTGTATGAAAGAACAGCGTCTCTACTGGCATAGCTCCAGGAGTGTATCAATAGTTGTGCTCCCAGAGCTCTGCAAAACTGTCAGATGTAAAGAGCTAAGTAAATGCGGTGGCATGCACCTCGTTGGACCTAGCTCATGGTATGCCAGCACTGGCTAAACTCCTGGAGTTCAGTTTTAACACAGTTTATACAGTTTTCCTACTCTGTTCAAAACTTCTTAAAATTGGAACAAAATCAGCTTGAATATAAATAAATTCCACATTCTTTCAATTTGCTCCACAATACTAATGCAGATGTAGCAAAGTGTTAGCTCTTATGACTCGTGCTTTACTGAGATAAATTTTTAGGCAATTGCCTAGCTGTTTATGGCTTCATTACTTACTGACCAGAGTGAAGTCAGAACTTCTTATCTACATGCTGTTTCCAGGTAAAGGTATTGAAGCTATTAAATCAGTTTGCCAGAGAAGCAACCAGGATTATCAGAAAGGAATCTGTAATGGTGGACCACCTATTTCTTATGCATATCCTTCTGTAACACAAAGCTATGAATGAACTGTAATTCTTCTGCTTCTGTGAACTGCTGCACCATAATAGCGAAGACATATAAGTAGTAGTGCACATACACTTTGGGCATACATAAAATGTCAGTCAGCATTACATTTGTTTATTTTATTTATTACAGTTGCTTATATAGCGCCGACAATTTACGCAGAGCTTTACATCTATATTGTAAATTCACATCAGTCAAGTCACAGGAGCCAAAAACCTATTAACATGGCTTTGGAGTGTGAGAGGAAACCGGAGTACCCAGAGGAAACCCGCACAGGGAGAACATGCATACGCCAGGCGGGTAATGCTGTGGTTGGGATTCAAACTGATGACCCTAGTGCAGCCAAGTAAAAGTCCCAACCATTGTGCAGAAATATTGTATAGTGCCTCCATCTGTTTACTGCACTGCCATGACTGCTGTGCATACTTAAAGAAGAACTCCAGTATAGACAAAAAAATAATCAACCATTAGTACACCCCCCTACAGAAAAGACTAAACAATTAATACAATTTTGAAAATCCTTACAGTTTAGGAGAAAATTCTAACAGAATTTTCATGACCTCATGTAATCTCTGTAATTCAAAAGATAACAGCAACTGCTCTGCCACAAAGGAGGTGTAACAGCAGGGATTACATCATATCCTCTCCTCTCTCTCTCTAGTAAAAGGAAACTACAGTTCCCATCAACCACAGGGAATTGTAGTGAATGTGGGCGGGTACACTAGGTCTGTATATTTGAATATGTCTGAGAGTCTCAGTACACCTACCACTGCAAGTGGGGCTGAATTACATTCCTGCTTCCTGGATAAAGGGCTCCAGAAGGGATGTACAGAGACCAATGGCTGGGGGAATGGGAGGCATAGCAGCCACTGGTCTTACAAACAGGAAACCACTGTGAATTAAAAATGAATCGGCTTTTCAGAGTTGTGCTTTAACGTATATTATTCACAGTTCACACATCTCCCTAAGAGTGGTGTTGCTTTATGTTTCTAATATACATGATCTAATAGAAAGTCTAAGGGTAACAGCATGAAAACCACAGGTATACCTGTGCTGTGGCCAAACCACACCAGAGCACAGCAATGTGAAACAGGCCTTCTTCCAAGATATGGCACTCAGCTCTAGAAACTGGAAGAAAGAAGATGTGTTATTTTGCAGTAATCAGATTTCTATTGTCACGAAGAACAGGTTTGAAATAGCAAAATATTTTGCAGCTGTATTTTAAATTGCTAAATAGGCAACAATGTTTATTGTTTGAATGTTAACTTATTCTTGCAAGGTACCCAGATAGTTTTGTTTTTTTTGTATTTTTTTCCTGTGTGTCAGTTACTGAAATACACAGACAGAAAAGAAAAACTGCATATGTTTGGTTCACAGATAACTGCAAAATGGCAGCACGTTGGAAGAACATTGGTAGACGATTTTGTCGGCAGTGGATCTGATCAGATTCTGCTATTGTTTGAAGATGATCCAAGGCATCCCACTGGCCAACAAGTGTTTAGGCTAACAGACTGTGCTGAAATTAACTATCCTGTAAGTACAAAAATAAGGTTTTGGGGTTTAAATCTGTTTCACCATAATGTGGTGTATTTCTTAAAAAAAAATATAAAACAGCTTGTTTCAATGTTTTTTGTTTATTTTTAATTTTGCATAAAGTGGTAAAGAATTAGAACAACCGTCAGGTTTTTACTGCTAACTGGGGCTCCATTAGAAAGATTTCCTGTCACTTTCTGTTCTGCTGACATTTTTTTTTATTTTTGACCAGAGAATAGGTGAGGAGAACTCTTTAACAGCAACACAGACAAAAGTAAACGTTTTTGGCTTATGCACTTTAAAAACTTTAAAAAAGAAGTATGTGAAACATTTACAAAAAAAAAAAAATCATACTTACCTAGGTGGTTGCAGCATCGGTCCCCCACCGACTCTAAGTGTGAGAACTCGGTGATCACATGACCGCTGAGTTCTCATCGCCACTGTGAGCAGAGAGCTGGTGATGGTCAGGCTCTGTCTGCTCTGCCAATCCAGCGCTCACTGCAGCTCTGGTCTGTGAAGGGAGAGGAGGGAGCGGCCGGCTCAGGCTCTCAGCGGCTGAGCCAGGTGCTGCTCCAGACATTGGGGTGGATCTTGACCATATGATTGTGATCCTTCCCCAGCTTGGACCGGCTCTGTAACGTCAGCCAACAGCGGGCTTCAGCCTGCTGTCAGCTGAGAATGGGTCACATGAGTGCAGAATGAACTGCACTCCTGTGATCCATAGGAGAAGTACAGCCAAAGTTCTTTTGGCTGTACTTCTCCTTTAAAGTGTATCTATGATCAAAATTTAAAATCCTATTTCCATTTTCACATTGAATTTAAATTATCTCTAGCCTACTCCTATTAAACACAGAAACACACCATATCGCTGTTTGCAGGCAACAAAGTACCATGGGATATTTGTTGTTATGAAACAAAAGTAAACCACATGAATGATTAGAGGAGAAGCTGCAAGGCATGCAGGGAATCCAAGAAATTGTGGGAAGAGATGGCCAACAGACAGGCAGCACTCACAACAGAAAAGGAGATTTTTTTTAAGTAACCTTATACTGGATTGTCAAAACTAACTATTGTTTGCATTGCGATTACAATACCAATGTTTTAAAAGCATATGCTGTGAATTTAGATCCCCTTTTAATGATTCGGCTGTTCATTGATTCTTAGCCCTGCCCCAGGGCAGCCCAACTTCCAGATATCCCTGTTAGTTTAAATTTAAACTTCTAACCCTGACCTACAAAGCCATTCACAACACTGCCCCTAACTACCTCACCAACCTGATCCCCAAGTACCGCCCTACCTGTACCCTTCGCTCCTCACTGGACCATCTTCTATCCTGCTCCCTGGTCTCCTCCTCCCATGCACGACTGCAGGACTTCTCCAGGTCCTCCCCCATCCTCTGGAACTCACTGCCCCAATCCATCAGACTGTCGCCTTCCCTCCTCACATTCAGGCGCTCCCTCAAAACCCATCTCTTCAGGGAAGCCTACCCCCCCCTCACCTAACGGCCATTCTCCCTCTTTCCTCCCACCCCTCATTCCCCTCAGCCACTTCCTACTGTACCGTTACCCCCTCCCTCCTAGATTGTAAGCTCGAAAGAGTAGGGCCCTCTTACCCCTCATACGTTGTTTGTTATTGTTGTACTGTGCCATGTATTGTCCCCCCCTATTGTACAGCGCTGAGCAAACCCTTTGGCGCTATATAAACTCGATGTAATAATAATAATAGTTAGTGATGGTCGACTTCATTAACTGATTGGGAGGCTCAGAAGGTGTGAATGAATGTGGCTAAAGTAGAACTTTACTTGGAAAGTTGAGAATTGCACATCATTTAACCACGTCCAGCCATTAGGATGTGCCTGTTCGTCCTTGGTGGAAGTGGTTATACTAGAATCATGCCTACAGATACAGCCATGATCCTGGTATCAGCTTTTACTGCCAGTGACTGGCTTTCAGGTGGAAGTGCTCCACAGCCGCCTGATCACTTTTACAGGACGCAGAATGTGATGTGATTACAGTTTTCATATGCAATTTTTTCTGAGGGAAACTTCTGCCTATTAATTTTTTTTTATCATATGCTATTTTTCTAGTTACTCAGGCTTGTGACAAGTTTGCTTTCACATTTGGCTCCTGATTTCCATAATATTTTGTGCATCTTGTATGCATATACTTTTAAAGTAGAACTATAGGCAAAACCTTTTTGGAGTGAGTAAGGGAGTGTCCCTGTTACCTTTCATCTTTTTTTGCAATCTGTGTTCCATTGCAGAGATTTCCCTTCACACTTCTGTCCCATAGCCAAACAGGAAGTTAGAGGATATCCCTGCAAATTAAGGGGATTCCTTGGAGATCCCCAGGTCAACAGAACTAGTATTCCCATTGGAAGATTTCCCCTCTATTACTTTTCTGGGGGCAACCCAAAATTTGGGATTTTATTTACTTTCACTTTCAATAATAATGGTAAACAGGAAGAATAAAGAGGTTGAATCTCCTTAATGGGGGGGGGGGGGCACAGACAACAATAAAAAAAAGACAAGCATTCTAATCCATTTCCACTCTATCCAAAACTAAAAAAAAAAAAGTTTTGCCTTTAGTTATACTTTAAGATGCTATTTCCTTTTACAGAACACTACCTTGGTTTAGCGCAATATCACTATTCCTTTCCACCACTCGATTTAACAGGTTTGCCTGTGGGCAGGGTATATTGCACAGTGTTCTGTAGATAGTGTCTCCACAATACGTAATATACTTTGCAGTAACTGATGCTGTCATTTATTTAGTGTAGTGTGAAAGACAAACACGGAAACAATGTGCAGGATTGGTAGATAATGGGTACAGTTACAACAAGTGTGGTGTGAAGTAAGCGTTTAGTTCAACAGCCAATGTAAATATTACATAAGGTGAAATGTCGCTCTCTAAGAAGAAAAGAAAGTGTTATATTTTAATGGAAAGAAGAAAAATAAAGATCAAAGATACAAGGACATTTTTTTCTGCTTCTGTCAATGCTTATTAAGAGCATAAATGGAAATTTCTTTACAAAGTATTGAGAATTTTTTTTTAATCATTTTAGTGTTAGATTAGAAGAAAGATCATGTTCAACAGAGAACAGCAATCTTATAATGAATGGCTCTCATTTATAATTAATCTTTCCATAGCTAAACCTGCAACATGCATAAAGTGGAACTTAAAATAAATTATAAAAATTGGCAAATGGGTAGGATTTTTATTGCAGAAGAGACATGCTTTGTCTCTTCTGCATGAAACTTACCTACCTGTCTGTCCGCCCTTGTACAGTGAGGTGTGCACGCACAGCTTACTATAGACATTCGGCAATTCCAAAGCCAACTGTACTCCCAAATGTGTGGGAGTGATGTCACATTGGCCCGGCCAATGAAAGCTGCTGGTGCTTGATACCTGGAAGTCGGCCACTCACATCTTTGAGCTCTAGTACACACGCATTGTAGGAGCCAAGGTGAGTATAGTTGCGCTTTAAAAGCAGGTACTCTACTGGGTCTGCATTTACCTTTTTTGCATATCTTTTTGAGCACCCTCAAAGTCCAGGGTGCACTAGGATATAAATGTTTTTTTTTTAATTTTTCTAAACTTTGTTTTATTTATTATTATTTTATTTGATTTGCTCTTACAAACATAAAGTTTTACTTGATGATAAAGATATCCAGTCATCTCTTCCATCTACGTATCTCACAACACACATGCATAAGAGTGCCTCAGCAGGAGATTTTTCCCCAAAAAGATGTCCAGAAATCTAGGACTAGAATACATGGATTCCTAATGAGGTCTGACCCCCCCCCCCCCCCCCCCCCCCCCCCCCGCTTCCCCCAAAACCTTGAGAGTGATCCACCCTAGAAGTATGCATTGAGACAACAATATTTTCTATATGTTTCAACACTGGCTGCCAACCAGCAATGGTTTTGAGCAACTGTACCACACACCAGCCATTTTGGTATGGTGGGGACATCTCTGGGGAAGAGGGCTTCAGACGGCAAGGAGAAGCAACTGAACAGGATTCCCTTCGCAACACATCATGTGACTTTTATAGGCACTTCAAGGTGGGAGCAGGTACCTGTCAAATTTGGGTACCCGCTCCCCCACCGCACTCCCCAAAGGTGCCAATCCTTAATGGGGGAGTGGGGGACTGACCCGTTACCGCAGTTCCGATTAGAGGCTCTGGCCTTAGTTGCCAAAGCAGTACTGGACAACATAATTTCCAAAACAGAAGCTTAATTTCTTATCAAAGATTTTTTTCACGCCCTATTTTTATGATTTACATAAAATACACAAAGATCCACAGAACCCTCAAGGACGACCTATTGTCACAGCCATGGATAGTGTATACAGTGGTTTTTCCATCTACATAGATCATTTTTTGCAGCCATTGGCCCATGGCCTTCCCTCATACATCCGGGATGGCATACATCTAAGAGAAATGCTAACATCGTATACTTGGGAGACCATATACTAATGGCTCTCCTTGGATGTGAATTCCCTGTATACCTCAATACCTCATGAGGTGGGCCTACAGGCCATACAATATCATTTAATGGAAGATCCCCTCATCAATAATAAACAGGCCAATTTTATATTGGAGGCTACTGCCTTCTGTCTCCGACACAGTTATTTCTTATTTGATGGTACCTTCTACCTCCAAATAAATGGCACAGCTATGGGGGCTAACTTTGCCCCGAGCTATGCTGATTTGACCATGAGATATTGGGAGGCTCTCCATATATGGAAGAATAATCCCTTTGCACGTAACATAATTTTTTATGTCAGATATATTGATGACATAGTCCTCATTTGGGATGGTTTGGATCACACCGTGGATCTTTTTGTCCCAACATTGCAATGATAATAATTTGGGACTCTCCTTCACTCATGTCCATGATTATCATGTGTTGACTTTTCTTTATTTGGAACTACATCATGAGGTCACCAAAATTTACACCAGTAATTACACCAAACCCACGGGGGGCAATGCCTTCCTTC